GGGGAACGTTGGGCAATCTATTTCCATAGTGATACTGGCTCAGAAACTTGAAGGGTCGCTATGAGTTGGGTCTGACTCCACGGCAGTGAGTTTTTTTTTTTTTCTGGCCGGAAGAAGGAACAAATTGCTTTTGAAAGAAGTACAACTGAAATGCTCCTTAGAAGTGAGAATGGCGAGACTTTGTCTCACGTATGCTGGACATGTTATCAGGAGGGAGCAGTCTCTGGAGAAGGGCATGCTTAGTAAAGTGGGGGGTCAGTGACAAAGGGAAAGACCCCCAATGTGATGGACTGACACACCAATGGGCTCCAACATAGCAACGATTATGAGGATGGTGCAGGACATGGCAGACTTTGATTCAGTTGTATGTAGGGCTGCTGAGTCAGAATCGACGTGACAGCTTGTAGCAACAACAGTATAAAGACCCAAACTACACAGCTATAAATCAGTGGTGGGAGTGTATGTGTTTCAGTGTGTGTAATGGAGTCCCTGGGTAACACGGGGGTTAAGTGCTCGGCTGTTAACTGAAAGGTGGGCTGTTCAAACCCAACCAGAGGTACCTGAGAAGGTCTCCTTCCGAAAGGTCAGCCATGGAAAACCCTTTGCAGGACAGTTGTGTCAAAGTCAGCTGAACTGTAGCTGGGCCCGGTTTTTAAATGATTATTTTGAGTTATCTGTGTCTGTGTGTATGGGGTCCCTGGGTGGTGCAGTGATTAACATGCTGGTTGTTCAGTGAAAGGTTGGAGGTTCAAGCCCACCCAGAGACCCCAGACAAGAAAAGCCTGGTCTCCTTTGAAGAAACCAGCCATTGAAAACCCTGGAGTTCAGTTCCGCTCTGCGCCACGTAGGGCCACTGAGTCCACATCAGATCAGTAGTCACTGGTATTGGGTTTATCTGTGTATAGTTGAGCTTAAGAGCTTGCTTATTCTTCAGCATCTTGTTTTTAATGTTTCAGTGTTCTGGCTGTCAAGGTGTATGAATAACATATGGTAGTTGTAGGAAATTTAGAACATACAGAAAAGTGTCAAAAAGCAGCCACAATGATACTACTCATGGGCAATCGCTGTCAGAGTCTCCTGACACGCTCTGCGGTCTGGTCTGTGTGTTGGATCTTGAAGTGTTATCGTCTTTAAATTTGATATTCTGCTGCTTTTTTAGGCTACCATTAAGCTTAAAGCAGTTGTTCTAGTAGTAGGAATTTCAGTGTTTAAAAAGTGAATTGATTCGAAAAAAGTACCAGGTGGTATGTTGGTATGTCCTGCTTCCCTGTGTTCGTACAGGCTCTTCAGGGGTGTGGTTTTATGTGTCCGTGCTGCCTTTCTTCTGGATGTATGTGACTCTAAGAACCATTTCCACTGTTGGAGAGTCAGCTTGTTTCCAGTATCGCGATATTCCACATAATAGTCTTGAGTGGAATTGTCCGTAGGTATATATGTTTCCTTGGATTTTTAAAGAGCACCACTTGCCCAGACTCTCAAGTAGGCATTCTTGCTGCATATGTCAGATCACTTTGCAAACATGAGAACGGCCTTCCAATTCTGTCATCCTTTTTTTTTTTTTTTTTTTAAATTGTGATTGGGGTGAAGATTTACAGAGCAAATTCACTTTCCATACAGCAGTTCACATATACTTTGTCTCATGTCATTGACCACAGTTTACCACAATGCAGCAGCTCCCCTCCCACTTCTCCCCATAGTGACCTCTTCGCTGTGTCCATCCCTCCAGGACTCCTGCCCCCTGAGCTGTCTCCCTATGCACATGCAGCCCTTCTTTCTCCCCTGATTGTTCTCTCCAAGGAGAGTATCTGCTTGAGGTAAATGTTCAACTCATATGCCTGTCTTTTGTTTGGCTAGAAACCACAGGTGTGGGTTCAATTCCAGACCTGAAGGGCAGTTAGGGTCCATAGTCTCAGTGGTTCCACCAGGCTCTATCGGACCAGCAAACACCCCCACCCCTTTTTTTTTTTCCTCCAAATGCTTTTGAGTTTTGTTCCACAGTGTTCTCCCTCTCTATCAAGGATTTCCTACATAGATCCCCTTCCAAGTGATGACAGTGGTAGCTGGGCACCATCTAGTTCTTTTGGTCTCATAGTCGTATAGGCTGCAGATCGGATGGTGTACCAGTCGCTAGGACTAATTGTTCCCATGAATTTTGGTTTTCTTCATTCTTCTTTGTTCTGGACAAGGAGAGACTCATCGTTGCATCTAGATGGCAGCTTGCTTGCTTTTAAGATCTCAGTTGCTACTCACCAAAGTAGGAGGTGGAACGATGTTTTGTATAGTATGTTATGCCAATTGAGCTTGATATCCCCTGCTACTATGGTCCCAAGCCCGCAGGTTCAACTACTTGGTCCCTCTGGGTAGCTGGCTGTGACCAAGCAGTGACCACAACCTTGCCCCTCGTCAGCTCTAGTATATATCTGGGAATTCTGATCATTCACATAAACTTACGGAACCGCTGTCTGCCAACCTTATATATGTTCTTGGATACACTCACCACTTCAGCCTGTCCACCCATCTATCCACCCATATACCCATGCTTGCCTTCACTGACAATGCAGTCGTTTCTGTCATCCTTGAGTATTTCACATTTTAGAAAATCTTTGACAAGGTAGATTTTTTAGTTAGGAGTGAAGCTGAAGTGTTTTTCATGGTAGGTTAGTTGTCCTGTTTCCCCTTTGGTGCATTTGTGTGTACTGCTTACGAAGGTATGGATATAGCGTTGGTCATGCTTGTTGCTGACTTTGTTGGTGTCTTTTTTGTGAAGTTTAAGCTGTATGGCTTTAACTTACTGTTACGGTGGTATTTAGTCTGCTGCTTGTTGATGCTATTGCTGGCATTCCGCTGTGAGGATGATGCCTGACGGACGGAGCACTGTTTTCTTTGGTTACAGATGAGCTTGCTGTGAGTTGGAACCAAGTTGGCGCAGCAACATCAGTCTGTTGATTTTTTCCATTGTCATTTTTGTTACTGCAGAAATCAGAAATATTTACCAAGGCCTTTTGTGGGCTTCAAAAATACTCTTCTAAGTTTTTGTGTGTGCGCTAATAATTTATATTTTTATTGAAAATATGTACAGTAACACACAGTTGAACAGTTCTTGCCTTTGTAGTTCAAGGACACTGGTGACACTCTTTGGGTTGTACCCTGTTCTCCCAGCCGTTTTCTAAACCCTTCCTCCAGTGACAGGCACTCACTGCCCACTGAGCTTCCTGGTCGACCTTTCGAGCTGCTGTCGTCAGTCTGATCCCACAGAGATGGCTCTTCAGAGTATAATGCCCAAGGCAGACAGTCTACTTAGTTAGCTAAACTCTGTCTTTGTAAAGGACGAGAGACTTTGAGTAGAAGGTAATGGAGGATGACAATCATTAACCCACACGCTGACCACCGAGGCTTCCATGTGCAGTTGCTGACATCAGATACGTCCATTGCTCATCGACCATCAGTGTTGACTGTTCCCGAGTGTTCCCATTGCTCTTCCTCCAGCTCACTCTCCCTCCTGCCCTCCCTTTGGACCTCTGTGCCCTTCCCTGTTCTGAGATTCTGTGGGCGTGGCTTACTCTCGTTGAGAATAGATACAGTGAAACAGCCAGTTCACCAGATTCTACATGGACCATTCTGTGACCTTGATGACATCCTTCGAGTCGTGCAGCCGGCCTCGCTCTCCTTTTGAGTGTTCTTCTCCTGTTACCATGCACTCACTGCTCCTCAGGTTCCTGTCACATCCTCTGGGCTGCTACTGGCACTTCAGTCCCATGGACGTGGGCCTTGGAGCACGGCGCTCAAGGTGACATTCCATACTAATTCAGCCACATGATCATTTGTCTTAAGAAGGCTTCAGAGGGTGTTTCTGGTTTAAGGTTTAAGGATGATCTTAGGGTAGTAGGTTCAGGGCTTCAGCCACCCTACTGGGCTCCAGGGAATCACCCTTTGAGTCCACGTGGAGTTTATTTTGGTGTACGTGGGGGCAGGAGGGCTTTTTTCTACAGAGCTAACCAGTAGCCCCAGTGCTGTGTGTGAAGTCCATTATTGCCCAACCCCGCTTTGTGCAGCCTTAGTACGTATTAAGGCCCCAGCCTGGTATCTGGTCCAGATGCTGGTTCCATCCATCTGTCCCTTCTCACACCAGCACCATGATTTCATTCCTGCTCTTTTACATACTGTTCATCACCCAGCCCACGTTAACAAATCAGAGTGAGAGAAATTGTTGTTGTTGTTATGTGCCATCGAGTCAGACCTGACTCATAGCGACCCCTCCTTGGATTTCCGAGGTGGTATCACTACGGAAGTAGATTGCCCCATCTTCCTTCCAAGGAGTGGCTGGTGGATTAGGGAGAGAAATAGGGTCTTTCAAAAAGCTGCTTTTTAATCTAGTTAAGTCCAGTATTTGTCAGGAATCTGAGTGCGGGAGTTCTGAGTGGAGATGACCTGTGTGAGAGCCGTGTCATGGGAGGCTGCGTGTGTGAGTCGGGTTGTGGCTGGTCACATGTGAGATAACCATGTCGTGGTGGGCTGCATGTGAGAGCTGTGTCATGGTGGGCTGCATGTGAGAGCCGTGTTGTGGGAGGCCATGTGTGAGATAGCCGTGTCATGGTGGGCTGCATGTGAGAGCCATGTAATGGTGGGCTGCATGTGAGAGCCGTGTCGTGGGAGGCCACGTGTGAGATAGCTGTGTCATGTCAGGGCTGCAGAATAGGCAGTTGGAGGAGAGGCCATCCAGCGGTTGGAGGGTGGAGTAGGGGCACAGCCGTGTGTAGTCTGCACTTTTCCATGGCTCGTCTCCCCTTGGGATGGATACCTTTTTGGAGTGGTGAGGTGATCATAAGCATGGGAGACCTTTCAGTGCCTGGGCAGCCAGCTGCTTGAAAAGCGTGAAGACTGCACCATCCAGTCTTCTCTGACCTTGACAAACCCTGGTGCAGAAGCTGGGGGTCATCCTTGTTGGCACCCTTCTCAGATGTAGGCGACACCCTTATATACCTCATGACCCTTTCCCACAGGGACCCAGTATGTGTTCCACAAACCTGAAGGATCTGCTCGACTGGAGGTCGCCTGAGTCCAGGATGGCTAGCACAGGCAGAGTCGCCTGAGTCCAGGATGGCTAGCACAGGCAGAGTGAGGTTGGAAAGTTTGCACTGTTCTCAGGCCACCTGAGCTTGGCTGGAGGGAGAAGTGGACCCACAGGACCCCTGAGAAGACCCTTTGTGTTGGGAATTTTAGTGCCTCTGCCCCCCCACCCCCCAAAAAACCCGAAAAGCTTTCTTCTTGTTTGTTTCTCTGTCCTTTGACAGCTGCCAGGCATTCTGGGGCTGACACTGGGCAGCTCCATGGGCTGTGTCTTCTGATATGCTTCCTGTAGATGCTGGAGCCCACACTCTGGTCGCTGTGACCCCTGTGCTCCTCAAGTTTCCAGGCCAGAATTCTTGGCAGATGGTTAAATGCGTCTGGCTGCACCACGTCTGCCCTGCTGTTTGTATTGCATAGAAGGGTCATGTAGCCCTCCCCTCCTGCGTACGCTCATGGTCACGCGGCCGGTGCTGAGGGGTTCCCTCTGGTTTCTGAGGTCCCTCAGTGGCCGGGCTTTCGAGCAAGAAGCCTCAGACTGCAGATGTCAGGGCTCCAGCGGGAGCTCGACCTGCCACGCAGACTGCCCCTCAGGGCAAGGAGACCAGTGTGACAGGTGCTTCCCGAAGCAGCTCCGGGTCACGAGTCCCAGGCTGTCCCCCGTGAACTGTGTGGGCCACGGGGGCAGTCACGATAATACCAGTGGCTGTCTGAGCAGCTCAGTTCAGGGGGTGGGAGAGTTGAGGGCGAGTGTGTGTGTGATGACGGCAGATGCCTCCCTTGCTGTAAAGCCCCGGACAAAGGAAGCGCATGCCTGTAGGCAACATTTACCATCTCGATGGCTCCAGTTGTGTGTAAATATTAGAAAACAGCGGGGGCCTGCATTCCAGAACCACCCGCATGGTGCCACCAAGACGACTGTCCTTCCTAGCATTGTAGTCACGCGAGCAGCGCCCCACTGCTTCTAATCTGTGCGCACAGCCGTGAACAAACTGGACTGACATTTACGGCCCAGCGGGGAGACGCTCAGCTGGGGCTGCTCCGGACGGCCGCGCCTCCGCTCACAGTGGCCGCCACACCCGGGACGTCTTCCCCGGAGAGCCCGCGCACTGCGCCCGCTGAAACCAGGGTGTCTGGGACATGGCCAAGGGGCGCGCTTCCTCCTCTCCAGGCCCAGCTTGGCTTGGCAGCGGGGCGTTTCCCGTGGCCTTAGGCTGAGCATCCGAAGGCAGGGCCTAGCTCCGCACAGGGATGTGTGTTTGTCTCTGAAGTGGCTCTGGGAGCTCCAGCTGCTGGCACCCCCACCTCAGTCCCCACTGGTTCATAGGCACCCCTCAGCAAGCCCACCCACCTATCAACTGGGAGTCAGGTTCCTGTGGTCCGTGAGGGGGCCGTGGCGTCCTGCTGTCCTGCGCACGCACAGGCGGGCTGCTGCCGTGTCTGGGGGGCTTCTTGGGAGGAGTAGCTTCCCCTGTGGGAATCGGGACAGACTGTCGATGGCTGTTACTGCCTCTGCTTAGCGTTATCACTGGGACTTTCGTGTAATTAGCTATCTTAGTTGGCTCTTAAATTTTAATAGCCAATTGAAGCAACGTTTTAGCCAAGTTCCATATCTAAATTGCATTCAGTCCATTAACAAAGTTGGTTAAAGGGCTATTAAAACAAAAGCCAGTCTCTGGCACTGCTCAGTGGCCTGGCTGCATGCAGCAGGGGCCTTGCCCACCTCCCTGAGAGCTCTGAGGGGACTCGCCCCTAGAGTAAGCCACCTACATGCTGGACCCCGCTCCTGAATGACAAGACAGCCGTGCTGGCAAGATAGACTTGGCTCCCATCGTAGAAGACATCACCGCCTCCCCCATGTCCTTGGCTGGGTTCCTGGGGGCTCGGCTTTATCTGTCGAAGGTGATGAAGAAGGGTGGAAGCGGGCGTGGGATATTGCAACTTAAAATCGACAGCTTTTGAGAAGCAAATGATGGAAATGACACTTTTCTCCACTTCAGTTGATCAAAGTTATTAGCAAAACCATCTGAGGTGCCTTCTGGCGGAATCATAGTCTTGCTGGGTTTACTTTGTAGAACATTCTGCCAGACACTTAAAAAAAAAAAAAAAAGTACTGCAGCCCAGCCAGCACTGGCTGTCAGCATGCGTCGTGGTCCCAGTGGTGGTAGTCGTGGTTTCTGAAGACCTTTCTGAGCCCCCCCGCTGCCCCCGTGCAGACTAGTTGCTGTGATTTCAGTCCTGGATTAAGTCCCCGCCCTTCAAACTCGGGCATTGGGTCTGGCTCCCATTTCCAAAGATACCTAAATTTTTCAAAGAACTTATAATTAGTGACACAGACTGTCTCAATAGAGTGGTACAGGGGCTTGTTCAGGTGACATTTTGTCTTGGACTCGTTAGAACTCCAGGGAATGAAGATGTGTGGAGAGGTCACTCGGCAAGCACGGCCCCTTGACCACGGCAGCTCCTGGGGAGCGGCTCTGCACCCCTGTCCTGTCCAAGTAACAAAACCCCTAGAGAAACCAAGCCCTCTGGCTGATGGCTTTCTGCTCCCCAGCCCGTCGCCCCGCTGCCCCCCGAGAAGCTCTGGGACATGCAGTTTGATCCTGCGTTTGCTGAGCTGGAAGTGGGTCTGAATACTTCCCATTGGCCATTCCAGTGTTAGTGTCCCCAGCATCCTGGGAGCTGCTGCCCGCTTCGCTGTCTGGGGGCTGTCTTCTACCCAAGGCCACCTGGGAGATAAGAACTGGACTGGATTCCAGTTGAGACTGACCTTTGGTCCTAGTTACATTCCTATTAGAATCTCTTGAGGGTTCCCATTTACACACTCTTCATTCTGGTACTCTCCTCAGCCTGTGCCTGGGCAAGTGATGGAGCGCTTCGTGTGTCGGCACAGGTGACTGATGGCCTCAGGTCACACGTCTGGGCACGGGCGCAGGCGGCTGGTGGCCTCTGGTCATGTCGGCATGGGCGCAGGTGGCTGGTGGCCTGTGGTCACGTTTGGGCATGGATGCACATGGTTGGTGGCTCCAGTTGCACATCTGGGCACGGGTGCAGTGGCTGGTGGCCGGTGATCACACGTCTGGGCCTGGGCACAGGCGTCTGGAACCCCTGGTGGTCTACTGTGCACAGGACCCCACGTGAGAGGCGAGAGAGGCCGTTTTATCCACTGAGGTCACATGCAGTCTAGTTAATATGCAATTAAAAATGTATGTGCAGCTAACTGATCTTTGATAAAAACAGAACTGGCTTTGGAAATCAGGCCAGAGACTCCGAGGTCAGGCTGGATGGCTTTGCCTTCTGAAAATGGCGGACAGGAAGGGCCCTGCTGGCTGTAAAGGGCCTTGTGCTGCTAGTGGACAGCCTCGGAGGGCTTCGTGACTTTCTGCAGTGGGTATCAGCCCCTGCGCCTGCGTGGTGGCCAATGACTTTTAAGGAAATACTCATTTTTAGAATAGATAACTCCTAGATGTGATACACAGACCAAGGCAGGGAAGGGTCGGAGGTGGAAAGCCTTTAGCTGAGCATCACGGTCCTTCAAGAAATCCAGGTAGAAAACCGTGCCCTGTTTCTTCCTGCGTTTAAAACCAGAAGTGTCCAGAGCAGGGGTATCTAAGAGTCAAGCCGTTCCCCAGCTCCACTTCCTCCTTCCTGGGAACAGCTGTCGGAGCCTTGAACATCCTTCCAAAGCCACCCTCACTGAGAATCTAAGTGTGTGTGTGGACAAGGGTGGGGGTAGAGGGAGAGAGAGAGATCCCGAGATACGTGGAGAAGAGAGAGGGACAGAGGGAGAGCGAGTGTGAACAGCCGTGTCCACGATGGCCTCTTCTGGGGAAGGGATGTGCAGGGTGGCAGACACTGGGGTTTCCTGCGGCCACTCACGGTGGAGGGGTGTCGCCTGTTCAGCCTGTTTTTCGTCCCTTCTGTGAAGATCTCATGAATAAAGTAATGGTTGTCAGCAGTAGAGACTCATTCTGCCAGGGTGTTGACGCTGGAGGTAGGGTGACTGGCTCTGGAGCCCAGCACGGTCCTTGACCGCAGATCTTCAAAGCCTACCAGTCCCTCCAGTTGTGCAGTGCACGTGGGCTATGGTTTTCCTGGTGTGTTCTCCCCTCGCCTCACAGCCTCCTCTCTGTGGGTTGGCTCACCCATTTCCTGGTCCAGAGTGGTCCCTTTGGTTCACTTGTCCTTTTTGGTGGAGTACAGCTTCCAGCAGGTTCCTGAGAGGCAGGTACGTGGGGGGCGAGTGTCGAGGCCTGCCTGTCTGAAAATGTCTGCGTGCCGCCTTCCTCTCGACTGAGCTCTGGAGCCCGGGCCGTGGGTCAGAGGGCATTGCTCTGATGCCTACGTGTTGCTGTGGAGCAGCCTTGAAGGCGTTTGGAGTCTGGTTTCATGTGAGCCACTTTTTGCTGCCTTTCGCAGACCTTTCCCGATGGCCTCACACTGTACAACAGTTGCTTGCTGGTGCATCCCTTTAACGACGACACTTATGGGAATTTTTCTTGAATTATTCTGTGGCTCATCCCTTCTGTCCCCTCTTCTCTCTGGACTGCCCGTCCTCCATACGTCGGGGCTCAGGGGCTCAGTTCCTAGCCTTTCTCCTTCCCTGACCCCTGCTTGGTTTTGTCCTATTTGCTCTTGTCTCTTCCGATTCTTGTGATTTTTAAAATTTTCTGCATTGTGTGTTTAATTTATGAGAGCTCTTTGCGATTCTCTTAAGGCTTCTTCTTATCTCACCCTAATCTTATTTCATGGATGCAGGATCTTCTAATGCCAAGGATTTAACGTCTGATACCAGGAAGATTTCTTTGTCCTTGTGTACCCTTTACTTCTCCGACTTACCATCCTCCTGCACCCCAGTTTGTGTTGGTCTTTGTCTTTGAGTTCAGATGTTTTTCCTTAAAGTTCTGGCCATCCTTGGTGTAGCTGTCATATGAGTGTCATGTGCTTGTCACACTGAAAAGACAGTGGAGACAGCTTTGTGTCTTCCTTTCC